ATATCCCCACTGCTGACGCCGAGGACTTTACCACCACAGAAGAAACCTCACTTCCTACACCCTCAGTTCCAAATGAAGATCATGTGGAAACTCTGGCAGAGGCAGCTGTTCAAGTGGATGCACCACCTTCCCAGGTTGAAGAGAAAGAGAAAAGTGATGACAGTTGGGAAGTGCCCTTGCCTCTTTCCGCAAGAATTTGCCATCCTCAGAGTCAGACAGTGATTCTTCTGAGGAATCCTCTCAGATGGAAGAAGATGTTGTCACACCTGTTGCATCACCTGAGCCAGCATCCATCCCAGATGAACTTGAAGACTCAGAAGAAGAGGAATCCTCTGAGGAAGAAGAGCTAGACTTAGATGGGAAGGATCTGTCAACTCATTTTGAGGTAAACAATGCCTTCAGTCCTACCTTTTATTTTGAATCTGATTCAAATTTTGAGTCCTCAAATCATGAATTGCCAATTCATTGAGGAAAATAAAATTTCCAAAGATGAGTTTGATAGACATAGGATCACTGCTTTTCTTGATCAATGAAAAATCCTTAGTCTAGTTGAGGTTGCCTGTTTTTATGTCAATTTACAAATTTTTTTTAAAGAAAAATTCTCCAAACTTTGGCAAAATTTTTTGTGCGAAATTCCATTTTCTCCTTTTCTCCCAAAATTATCAACTCTCATTTACAAACTCCTACTGTGATTGATGAGGATAATTATGGTGATTTTACTGAAGTTTGTAAGACTCTTTCTGGCAATCGTTTTAAATCCCTCTCTCATCTACTTCATTCTGCTTTCTCTAAATTTCAGCCAAGCTGAATCAGAATATCTTCACACTCCACTTGGCATGATCACTGTTTCTCAAAATTTTCTAAAAGCTCCTCATGTCCAAGATCTTCCCTGGAATGGAGATAATTTTCTCTCAACTGAATCAGATCAAAATAAGCTTGGTACTGAAAGTGTTGCTCCTCATGTTGACAACATTCCTGACATTCTTGTTTCTGTTCCTAGAGATCTTTTGTTACAACAACTTACTCACTCTCTAGCTCAGATTACTTATCACCAGTCCATGGTGGCAATGCTCCAAAAGGCTCTTTCTGATCAAAAAGGGGGAGAAAAAGCTAGTCATAAAGTTGAAGCAGGGACTTCTCATCCCTTGGATGCCAGAGACAGAGAGCAAGGTGTTAATGAAGAAGGAGCAAAGAATGAGGGTGAAGCTCAAGGAGCAGAGGAAAGCAGTGGATCCAGTGCTAGTGATGGAGGAACAACAGCTGATACTGAGAAGACTTTGGATATTCTGCTCTAAAGTTATTTTTATGAACAATATTTATTTTTGTTCAGTTTGTTATTTTTTCTGTTTGTTATTTTTCCTGTGAACTTCTGTTTTGTTATTTGCTATATTGGTTATCATATTCAGGGAGAGTTCAAGCAATGACTCAGGGGGAGTTAAGCTAAAATTTAGTTTTGATCAGAAAGTTAAAAAGGGGGAGTTTGAAACACGTGGATTATTTCCACATTTTATTTTTAACTTTCTTATTTTCTAACTAAATTTTAGTTATGGAATAAGTAGTGCTTAGTGGGTTAAGTATAGTGCTTAGTGGGTTAAGTATAGTGCTTAGTGGACTAAGTAGCTTAAGTGGGTTTAATTGTGAATATTATTCTAACTCCTTAAACTAACCCACTAACCCATTTTCTTGAGTGCTCTTGTGGTTGGTTTTCTTGCAGATCATGGGCTGAGGAGTGGAAGCTTGAAATGTCTATAAATACCGATTTCAATACTCAAGGAAATTGATCGATTCTATGAAATAAAAACCGAGAGCTGAAAAGAATACATGAGTGTTTTAGTGTGGTTTTAGAATCGGTTGTTTATACTCTTTATGAGTACAATCTTTACGTACTCCTCATGAGTACATTCTTTACGTATTTCTCATAAGTACATTCTTTGTAGTCTAGATTGTTTAGTATATATGTTTCTAGACTTGGTTGTAAGAATGATCAAGATAGTGATTCATTCATAAGTTCTTTACGTACTCCTCATGAGTACATTCTTTGAAATCTAGAATTTTTAATATTTTTCTTTTAGTATCTAGATTTGATTGTAAGAATGATCATGAAAATGATTCATTCATAAGGAAGAAGTTTTTGCACCTCTTCTGTTTGTATTCTTGGAATACTGGTTTTAATATATTTTTTCCGTCCTGTAAAGGGCAAGTTCACAAGTCTTTACTTGTGAACATTTTTAATTCTGAGTATTGTTCTTTTATCTGTATATTTCCGCTGCATGTTTGTTCAAGTGTCATAACACTTAAGATAACATCTCTGTATTAAACGAATTCGGGACCATAAATTCTTTCAATTTTATATCTTTGCTATTGCAAAAATACTAATTCTATAGGTTAAATTAAAATATTAAATCATATATACATTTAGAAAGTAGGGTTGGACCGGTATATTAACATGTTTTAAGAGAGAAAGGGCACAAGTTTCCCAAAACCCGCCCATTGTCATTCCTACCAATTCGAACACAAGATGGACAATTTAATTATGAAATCCAAACAACGTAAAAGAAAAAAAGAAAATGTGTCACCTGCAAGTCATGTGCAAGCCCGGGCGGACCCAAGGTATGCCTTGGGGGGGCCTCCGCCCCTGCAAACTAAATTTTTTTACCTGTTTTTTATTTGATTTTTAATATTTTATGTTATTTATCTTTTAATTTATACTATTTAGCCCCCCAAACTTCAAATTTTGTATCATTTTAGTCCAAAAAAAATTTTCTAGCCCCCCACCCAATACTCCCTGGGTCCGCCCCAGTGCAAGCAACCCGCACTCCTCTCGACAAAGAAGCCGCAACGAGGGCATCTCCGCCACTTATTCTTCTTCGTGAGCGCGTGCACCATCAGATCTTGATCTCTCTCCCGCTCACCCTCTCTCATCCTCGAAAACTCTCCACAGTCGAAACCCGAATGCCACGTCACCTTACACTTGACACAGAACAATCTCCTGCAGCTAGGGCACTCGATCGGCTTCCCTCGTGGTACCGGTGTTCATCGTATCGGAATCGTTCATCAGCAAAGCCGAACAGTTTTTGTACGGACAGTAAAACCTCTGCAACAACGGAATAATTACCGACTCGCATATAACCTGGTCCCACAAAGTAACAACTTCTTTCGGCACCACCCCTCCGACGCACTCTTCGATTCCCATAATGCCCTCGCAGTCGGGGCCCGGGCATGCGATGGAAGCGGATTTCCCGCGGTTTATTTTCATGGTTATGTATTTGGATATGCAATCCTTGCAGAACTTGTGGCTGCACTTATGATGGCAAAATGGGAATATTTCATCGTTTTGTTTCGTTCTGCGCATATTTCGCAGACGAAGGGGAAGAAGATGAAGAAGAAGAAGATGATTCTCCTACTTCCTTTATCAAACTACGACGTCGTTTTTTGGATAATGATGATTGTACATTAATTCCGGTGAAAGAAGAGATTAGGGTTTCTTGGAGCTGAAGTTCTTGTGCATACTTGTCATCGTCCGACAAAAGGCGGTTGTGATTATTTTCGATGATTTGAGAATATTGCATAAGAAGCAATGAAGTGTAATAATCATCGTCGTCATCGTATGAAAAAACTTCCATGCTCAACGTACAGATGTGGAGATGAATTACGTACAGATTGGGTAGTATAACTAATTATCTACACGGAATAAATTCGAGTAATTCCAAAGGGCTCAAGAACGTACTTCGGCTCTTTGACTTCACATTTGACTCATTTAATTTTTTAGTATTTTTCCCAAGTGTATTTCGAGTTCCCAAGTTAAGCATGATTCTTTTATCTGTAGTATATCGATTCGATGGTATAGAAAATCATTGGTTCGTTTTATGTGATGGAGTATCTAAAAAGTTTGAAATTTTGGATTTATATATTTCATTTACTATATATTTTATATTATTAAAAACTCTTAAGTGTTCCTATTTCCTAATATGTTCATCCTTATATTTTGGGGTGAATTCAGCATGAATGAAATTTTACCACAAATTAGCCCATCATTTAATTTTCATTTCAAATAGCCTCGCATAAATATGAATTCCCAAAATAACCCCTATCTATTTTCATTTGAGATAAGTCTAAGCATGAAAAAAATTCATATACACATTCATCACCCCCCTACCCCACTCGTTTTCTTTCCATGCGTCAGGTTTTCGGAACTTTGATTAGCACTAAACATTAGTTGACATCCGACTTATCTATTTCCGCCAACGGATTGTTGAAGCTTCGATTAGCTGACTTTAATGTCAACTGAAATCCAACTTCTTTTTGTGCCTTTTTTTTTTCAGCGGCGTGTTGTCATTAGCTCCGATTGAGTTAACTACATCAAGTTCATCGCTGTTGAAGTCAACTAATGCTTAGTCAACTAATCATATCTTCGACGACCAGCGACCGAAAAAAATAAATCAAATGTCATTTAATGTTGAATCAGCTGAATAGGGTTCTGACGATCCGCTGCAAAAAAAATAGTGGAAAGAAAAAACGAGTTGAATGTCACCTAATAGTTCGTTAGCTAATCATAGCTCCAACGACAGGAAAAATAAAAATAGCAAAAGAAAAGGAAAGAAAGAAAAAATTGAATATCAATTAATATTGATTAACTGTGAACTAATCAGAACTCGGACGATCTCCAATTGATTTATTCATTTTTGTTTTTAAAATAAGATAAAACTATTAGGGATATCTCCCAAGTCCTAATACATAAGGAAAGGTTATATTAACCTCAAAATATAGTTGGAAAAAGTTACCCATAAACAACATTAATTTTGTACATAAGATATTGTAACCAATCAGAAGAGATCAAAAATACATGGGAACTCAAAATACACTTTGGATAAACTTTAATCAGAATTCAAAATCAATCTAGATATATTAATTAATAACAAAGAGATCCAAACCTAATCAAGAGTGAGAAAAAAAAAAAAAACATTTTCATCTCCACTCTCTGGTCTCCCATGGCGGCCGAAGCACGTCGTCGTTTTGTGGGACGAGGTTATCTGCGAGTCGTTGATTCCGCTGGCGCAGAGGTTTTACTGTCCGTACAGGGACTGCTCGGGTTTGCTGATGAATGACGGTGGCGGTGACGTCAGAGAAGCTGAGTGCCCCTTCTGCAATAGGTTGTTCTGCGCGCGGTGTAGTGTGACGTGGCATAGTGGGGTTGACTGTGAGGAGTTTTCGAAGCTGAGGTTTGATGAGAGGGGGAGAGAAGATCGGATGGTGCATGAGCTTGCTAAGAAGAATCAATGGCAGAGATGCCCTCGCTGCAAATTCTTTGTTGAGAGGAAAGAGGGATGCTTGCACATCACTTGCAGGTGATTATTTCCCTTTAGGTTCCCTTTGACTTTTTTCGTTCCAATTTCCGAGATTTTGATTTACGGATTTTTTTTATTTTTTTGGATTGAAATTGGAATTTCGAATGTGAAAGGTAAAATTAGCTTAAAATCCCTCAAAAATATTTTGTATAGCTGACAGGGCGGGCGGATATTTTGAAGTTGATATAAATCCCTCGGGTAGTTTTTAGTCGTACAACTTAGACGGAAAATAAATAACTTAAATTGAAAATAGACAATTTAGTTGGAAAGTTTAGACTAGAAATAGATAGTCTAGACTGAAAATAGACAGCTTAGTTGGAAAATTTAAATTGAAAATAGACATCTTAGATTGAAAATAAATGAAAATAACATGTTTCCAATGATGCGGTTGGTAGAAATTAGACGGTCGACGGCAGAGGACTAGTAGAGATGGACAGAAATGCCATTTTTTTGGAGTGAGTGTTGTTCTGAGGGCGGATGGGTTGGAGGTAAATAAAGTATTTTCGATCTAAAATGACTATCTTCACTCTAAACTCTCCAATTAAGCAGCCCGGGGAGCTTATGGGAAAATACCAAAGTATGAATGTCATGATCTAAAAGAGTATTAGCGACTAGAGGTGTTAGCAAATTGCCCCCCAAAAAAATGCAACTTCTGAAATTCAGATTGTTTTTACCAATAGGGTAAAGGTCTAGGGTTTGAGTCCCCCCTTCCTTACTTCCCCTCGTAATGGACTTGAAATTACTTTAAGAAAAAAAAAATCGGATTGTTTCTTTTTTCAATGGCTGAAGTGTTTAATTAGTATGTGTGCGTGCGTGCGTTTGGTTCTCAAATTTGGAGTATTGATATCGGATCGCGTAACTGATTCACATAAAAGAGTATTATATCCCCTTTGATTAAATTATTAGGCAAGTCAATATTTTTGTTAATTATTTGATATTTAATCTGTGTGAAAATAGGTGTGGATTTCAATTCTGCTATGCATGTGGGGCAGCTTGGAGTTCTACCCATGGTGGTTGCCGGTGACCATGTTGACCACCCATCGGCCATCACTAGTACTATTATTTTTTCTATTTATTAATTTATTTTTTATTTTATTGTGACTCCAGCAAATTAAACTCACATTTCTTGATTTACTATCGATTCGATCGTGTTTTTGAAAAATATTTCAATTTACTATGTGTTTTACGGGCAATTAACATATATCGATCGTGCATGTTAATTATATAAAGAAACACGCACCACCGTAGCATAGTATAAACCCAGACCACCTATTTGATTCGGTAAATTTTTCCCGGAATATTCACTTTCCCATCAATACTTCAGTTCCGTTTGATTATAGAAACGATCTTCGAACTGAGAAAAGAAAACGTATCGTGCTTTGGTGCAAATTCTCTTCGATTACAGGATTTCGACAAGTAATGTTTTACGCAAAGCTAGAAATATTCCTTCGAAAAGTCAACCTTGAGTCGTAAATTTACCGTGTGGAAATATATTCGCAGATTTCTCAAAACACATCCCTATAAGTCACCTTGGTCTTGGTCTTCTTCTTGTACATTAAAAAAGTAAGTCTTTTTATAAACTTATAAATTAATTAAACTGATCCATCTCCAGAAGTAATATAGTTGACGCGTAATTCCTCTAATAAATCGGTTATGCAATAATAGTAATTTGAAATTAATTAATATAAATGTCACAATCTATGAATAAAATATTGTCTGTCGAGGATCTAAGGTTTAGAAGCAACGTATATGCGAAAGACACGGTTTAAATTTCCGTTTTAGGGAATATAAAATCTGCGATTTGGTGAGGATATATATATATATAAATTTATATCAAACTACTGTAGGAGTTTGATCTCCTCAAGCCATTGATGAATAAAATTATAAGAATAATATCATGAACAAATTAAAACGATCGGAAAAAAAAAATATATTTATATATAGTTATACTGTATATGACAATTGACAGTCGAAAGAACGATGACTTTGGCATTCATATCATCACTTGATTTATATGTTGTTTGAATTATTTATGCATCAAGTCATCAAAGTAGGTTCCACTTAAGCCGTGTTTTTTTTTTTTTTTTTTTTTAATTTAATACAAAATTGTCTACCGCGTCGCGTTTATTAATTAAAATTCGTTTTCGAAATTTCAAGAAAGTCTGATAATAAATATCAGAACTGCACTTCTGTTTTCTCAATACAGCAAAACATATACAATTAACCATTCAATAGATCGATACAAAACACTTTACTTTCGATAAACCTTATATACACATATCCAAGAAAATGGAGATCTTGTCTTCGATATTCGACGAATACGACTATCAGTACGATAATAATTTATCACCATCAGATGATTCCGTGTACGCAGAAGAGCTTCAGCTTCAAGAAGCTCTCGCCGCCTCTCTACACATATCATCATCATCATCATCATCAAGAAACCACCACGCCACGTCATCATCAAGAAACAACCATGCCACGTCATCATCAAGAAACCACCACGCCACGTCATCATCAAGAAACAACCATGCCACGTCATCATCAAGAAACAACCACGCCACGTCATCATCAAGAAACCACCACCACGCCATGTCATCGTCATCTTCATCCACTCGAATTATTTCATGCGAAATATGCACGGAAGACAAGCGAAAATCGGACATGCACAAAATCGAGGGCTGCGACCATTCGTTCTGCCACGACTGCATATCGAAGCACATCCAATACAAGCTCCAACAGAACATAGCAAACATCCCTTGTCCCTACCAAGGCTGTCCAAACATGATCCAACCGAATAATAACAACGGGTCGTCTCTAATTAGGTCTAAAATCCCGCAAGAAGTTTTCGACCGGTGGGAGAAGGCGATAACCGAGTCAACCATTCTTGCTTCTTCGGAGGAAATAATCCACTGCCCTTACGAGAAATGCTCGGAGATTCTCGTTATCGAAAACGGCGGTAACGTAATAACTGAAACTGAATGCCCTAGGTGTCATAAATTGTTCTGTGCAAAGTGTAGGGTTTCTTGGCATCACGGATTCGACTGTCGAGATTTTCAGAGATTGGATCGAAACGATAAAGAGAAGAGGAAGTTGAGGTTGTTGGCGAAAGAGAACAAGTGGAAGAAATGCCCTAATTGTAGGGTTTTCGTCGACAAGACCGAAGGATGTGTACACATTACTTGCAGGTTGGTAATTTTTTTTTAATCGAACTCGTAATCGATTCGTTCAATATGCGTTGGTTCAAGATTCGGGTTGGACTCGTTGATCTGGTTAACCGATTAGTTTGAACTTATTATTAATTGATCAGTTTAATTTTGTTTGCAGGTGTAAGTTTGAGTTCTGTTACATATGTGGAAAAAGCTGGAATGAGAGCCATTGGAACACTTGCAAGGAATAATATAATAGTGGTGAATAAGTTTAATTAAATTAGTGATATATATATTTTTATTATTAGTCAAGTGTGTTGAATTAAAATTCAATTTTTTGCTCTTATTTTTTTTTTGCTAGAGATCTCTTGTAATTAGATTCAACAGCTCCAAAAACAAAACTACAAAAATATATATAAATAAAGAAAAATGAAAAAAAAAAAAAAAAGTCCATGATTTGTATATATATCCAATTTCTTTGTTTCATTAGTTAATATTCTATGTTCCGACAAATTTTTTTTGAACAGAAAACACAAATTAATATATTACGATTTCAAGATCAGAGCTTTGGTATACTGGGTAAAATATTTTCTAGAGTAGGTATTATCACAGTCCTTATCCAAAACACCAGTCAAGAAAGTCGGGTAGTATCAAAAATCAAAGATTCATTGTTCGTCATTGAAACTATGTGTTCGGACAATTTTTATTTATGCAAATAGGTAATAAAAAATTTGTTGACAATGATTATTTGTATATGGTTAGCAATATTTTTATTTCTTTAAAATGATTGGTGGTCCTTCAAGGTTAGGGCATTTTTTAATGATAAAAATATTAGTTAGTACGCAACAAGTTATGATGTCATAAGGCTGACATCACCATATTCAAGACCATTTCTTCGAAAAAGATGTGAAGATTTTTTTAAGCTAGTCAATTTAAATTATTTATATCTCAATATGGGGTTATGTGAGTTTTCTATAAAAGTAGAATAGTAGATATTTTCCTATAAATGATGCGGGATCACTCGAGATGAATATTCGGGAAGTCGAGTTGGAGAATTGACCGGAAACGCAAGTATAAAATTCTTGTTCGTCTCAATTGCAAAACTATTTACAACACTAAGCAATTACACTGATATGATGTTCAAGTGAGATGATATTGTGTGTTGATCACAATCTCGAAGAAGTGATTGAATAAGTAAAAGTTATGTACCTTAAAATTGTGAATACGCCGAAAATTAAATAAATGAAGGTAATTAGTAACTTTATTTGGTCTAGTGAGGCAAAAGGGACTTCTTCGACCCTACACCGGGTGAAAAATATCGAGTGAGTTTTCTGCTGCCATGTGTCATTTTTTGTATTTTATAATATATTTTCCCACTAAGGTTAACTTGCAGAGGTTTTAAAAAAATACAAAAAATGACACATGGTAGTAGAAGATCCACCTGGTATTTATCACCGGGGTGGAGTCAAAGGAGCTGGCAAAAGGCCTATGTCACTCAGCAAAATTTAGAAAAGTGGCCCATCTTTTTCTTTTTTATTTTCATTTATTTTATTTTAAAAAATGACATGGTGAGCTAATACAAAAATAAATAACTAATATATGACGATATATTTATGAGAGAGGGCAAACACATAAACCTTTAATTTAATAAAATATTGTTTAAATATTACTCTTATATCATTTTCTACACTACAATGAATAATTTGTATAATGAATCTTGCTAATCATATATCCACATTATATTATTTTCTACACTATAATAATTACATTCACTGAATTACGAATTCAAGTCCAAAATGCAATTAGGTTCACTGAATTACAAAGCCCTTTCAAATACTCAAATCTCCCTATACATAATAAATCGAAAAATGCAACAAAGAGAGACGACGACGAAGAAGAAGAAGATCGTCAAGAAAATTAAATGGGCTCGAAATATTCCCACTTCTCGTGCGAAATATGCGCCGAAAATAAACACAACAATCAAATGTTTCCGTTTCACGATCATAATAATAAGAGCTGCAGCAGCCACCGTTTCTGCACGGAATGCATATCCAAACACATATCCACAAAACTAATCCACAAAAAATCCCCTTCGATAACATGCCCCGGCCTCGACTGCAGTGGCATTCTAGAAATCGAAAAGTGCGTCGAAATCGTGCCGAAAGAAGTCATTTGCTTGTGGGACCAGGTTATATGCGAAACCGTAATTATTCCGCCTTCACAGAGGTTTTATTGTCCGTACAAAAATTGTTCGGCTTTGATAATGAACGACTGCGACGAGAAAGAAGTGGAGTGCATGAGAGAGGCCGAGTGCCCGTTCTGCAATAGATTGTTCTGCGTGCAATGTAGGGTGGCGTGGCACTGTGGAGTCGATTGCTTGGAGTTTTCGAAGCTGAGTTTGAACGAGAGAGGGAGCGACGATCTAATGGTGCATGAGCTTGCTAAGAAGAATAAATGGAAGAGATGCCCTCACTGCAAATTCTTTGTTGAGAGGAAGGAGGGTTGCTTGCACATGACTTGCAGGTCAATCTTTCTATTTTTAATGTCGACGTTTTTCATTCCAATTTCCGAAATTTTGATTTTTATTATTATTATTTTTTATGTTGGAAAAAAATAATGCAGGCCGGGTTTCAGAAAAAATAAAAAGTAGTACTAAATTAAGTAAATATATGTAGACTTTAATTAAAATATAATAAATTAAAAAAATATATTATCTATATCATGAATTTGATTAATCTTCAAAATTAGATTCAAATTTAAATTTTCTTGAATTTTATTTGATAGATTCAGTACTTGGTGGACTTAATAAAACTAAACAAATTAAATCATCAAAAAAAAATTAGCGTATCATTAATTCTTTTTTTTTTCTAATTAAATTTGTTGATATTTAATCTGAAAATAGGTGTGGATCTCAATTCTGCTATGCATGTGGGGCAGCTTGGAGTTCTACCCATGGTGGTTGCCAGTGATTATTATTATTATTTTTTTTAATTCACTCCTGCTAAATTGAACTCTTGTTTAATGATTTTAGTATTTTACTATCTATTTGATTTTCTTGGTGAAAAGATATTTGAATTTGTGATATTGTCTATTGACGTTTGGGCAATAGTTTGTACTTGATGCCATCAAATTTCAAGGGTTTCAGTAATTATGAATACCTAAATGGTTTTCGGTAATTTCACCATATTTCAAGGGATTTTTGGTAATTCAATATATTTTTATTCTTAATTAACTTAGGCCCCGTTTGGTTGACAAGATAAGATTAGCCAAGATAAGATTAAATAATCTAATGAGACCCAATTATTTTATTGGAGCTTGAAAGGTCCAACAAAAAAAACTCATTAAAAGGCAAGATAAGACAAGATAAGCCATGATTATATAATTTTGGCGGGTCGACCCGACAAGTTATTGAGGATACCCAACATCAAATTAAGTCCAACTATTTAATTAATCATGGCTTATCTTGGCAACCAAACGGGGCCTTACAGTATTAGTTAAGGGTTAATCACAAAAAAGTTCCATGACAAGGGCACTTAATTAAAAGAGGGACATCCAACTTTTTTGTCTTTCAAATAACTCCAGCTCATTCAAACTTATTTGCAAATAAGGAAAATCCTTTTATATATACCAAAATTACCCTCAATTCAACTCCAATTTCATGATTTACACGCCCCAATTTCATCAATTAATCAATTTTAACCCTAATTTCAATTTTCACCCCAATTTTGACCCGCCACCACCGGAGACCGCCGGTCTCCGCCGTTGACTTTTTTTTTTTTTTTGAAAAAACATTTTTTTCCCAAAATTTTTTTTCCAGCCGGTCAACTGTTGTTGACCGCCGGGTCTCCGGCGTTAAACTTTTTTTTTTCTTTTTTTATATAATTTTGTTCTTTCTTAAAAAAAATATTTTAATTAATATTACTGTCTTGGCTGCTAAATTACTGTCTCCGGCAGTTATTTAATAGCCGGAGACAGTAATTTAACTGTTAATTGACTTTTTTTTTCTTCAAAAATATTTTAATTAATATTACTGTATTCGTTGCTAATTTACTGTCTCCAGCAGTTATTTAACTGTCGGAGACAGTAATTTAACTGTTAATTGACATTTTTATTCTTAAAAAAAATATTTTTAATTAATATTATTGTATTCGTTGCTAAATTACTGTCTCCAGCAGTTATTTAACTGTCGGAGACAGTAATTTAACTGTTAATTGACTTTTTTATTATTAAAAAAAATATTTTTAATTAATATTACTGTATTCGTTGCTAAATTACTGTCTCCAGCAGTTATTTAACTGTCGGAGACAGTAATTTAATTGTTAATTGACTTTTTTTTTTCTTCAAAAAAATTATTTTAATTAATATTACTGCCTTGGCTGCTAAATTACTGTCTCCAACAGTAATTTAACTGTCTTAGACAATAATATTAATAATATTACTGTTCGGGAAAATAATATTCATAATATTACTGTCCCAAACAGTAATATTACTGTCTGAGACAGTAATTTAGTAGCCATCACAGTAGTATTAATTAAAATATTTTTTTGTAAGAAAAAAAAAATTCAAAAAAAAAAAAAGTAAACGCCGGAGACCGGCGGTCAACAGTGGTTGACTGGCCAGAAAAAAATTTCAGGAAAAAAAAAGTTAAAAAAAAAAAAATCAACGCCGGAATCTGGCTGGAAAAAAAAATTCATAAAAAAATTATTTTCTGAAAAAAAAAATTTGGGGGTTAATGTGATATATTTGTTTAAACCCGGGGTCAATGTGTAATATTAATAAAGTTAGAGCATAATGGATGGAATTGATAAGAATTATATTATGGAGGATATTTTAGGCTAAAAACATGGGGATGAGTTTAATTGAGAGACTGTTTTTTTCGTGGACCAAAATGTATTTAAGTCCCATGTGGTGGACCTTTTGCCATTCACCCATTAGTTAATTGGTGAAATTGGAGCTAAATTAGGGTTAAAATAATAAAATTAGAGTTGAACTAGCGTTTAAGGAATTAGGGGTAAAATAAATATATATGCAAGAGTTTTCCTTATTAGCAAATAAATTGGAATAAAATAGATATATTTGTAAGACAAAAAAGTAAAATATCTCTATTTTAATTAAGTGTCATTGTCGTGGGTGTTTCTTTTTTGCAATTCCTCCATAAAAGAAACTCGAAAACCATTAATATTTTTGAATTAAAAGACAAAGATTAACATTGAAACTCAAACCACTTAAATAAAAAAAAAAATCCATACAAATCAATCAACCCATTCAACACTTATTGCTACTAAGTAAAATTCTACCATATGTATCAAAATTACACAACTTTTTTAAACGCTTCAAATTTATGATTTAAATCTCAATTTTACTAGTTCACCAATTTTGACTATCGCAGCTCTAAATTGTCAATTGCATTCACTTTTTTTTTTCTTTTTATTGTTTTCTGATTTTTTTTTTCATTCCATTGATTGATTTACACATTAAGGCCTCTTTTGGTTTGATGTATGGGATAGATAACTTTCCTGGGATTATATAATTTTACACTATTCATGATTATATAGTAGCCAAAATTGTGAATTTGGTTTGTAGGATTTACTACTAAGGATAACTATAATGTAACTTTTGGTTTGGATGATAAGGACTGATAACATCTGCAATGACAAAATCACCCTTTCCATTTATGTACTGGTGGTTTCATACTTGGATTTCATTTTATCTGTGTTTTTACGGAACAAGAAAAAAAAACAATATACATATAATTTCTTTTTTGAAACAATGAAAAACTAAATTATGTTAATATAATGCATCAAGCTAATGGACAACTGAGACTGCTGTCAACAGATTACAAGTCATTATGAATCCAACTATTAGCAATGGTTTTTGCCTCTGAAATGATCCAAACCAAAAAATTACTACAAATTCATCCAAACTGGAAAGATAGAGAACAATAGTGAACCATTTTTAATGTTCATCTGGCTACACATTTAGATAACAACATTAAGTAAGGGCAAAATACAAGACAATCCACATCATTAAAGCTAGACAAATTGAAGTTTTAACAGATACATAAAAATAGCAGCTTTCGATCCAACAGTACAAATTAACTAAAAAGGAATTTAATAATACAACATTCTTGAATAATTTCACAAAGTTGACTTGTTTAGAAATGAAACTATGCATATATGCTCAAGGGTTCTGCCTGGTTCGAGGAAACAAGTCCACGCTCAGCGGTTGGCTAACCGATGATCAATTTCCTGAAATACAAAATTTTTGCAATCTAATTTAATTTGGAAAAATCCTAAAAGAAATTTTATGAATCGTGTTTCGCTTTTGTGTTGTATTATATTAATATCTAGGTAAGTAATTACCTTTCAGCACCATTGTGCTTGGTTTCATAAGAATATTTATTTTTTTAGCAGTTTTTTTGAACTCACAGCATCGCCATAGTCGACCAAAACATGTCAACAAACACAGAGGATCATATATGTAATAATAACTTATTTATTAACCTTAAACAATGTGAGTATTTTTTTACCTGAAGGGTTCATCACCACATCACCAGCTTGTTTAATAGCAACCGTTGCATCAGGATAAAACACGTGGCTCATAATCTCCGAACTTTCAATTCCAAACATATGTCCAAGCCTCTTGAAAGACTCTTCGTACGACCCAAGAAAAGACAGGTTAAGAGTCCGGCCTACATCTTCGGAAGCCAAGAACACTTTGCAGTGACCAGTGTCCAGCCCAATTTCAGACGAATGATAACCCGGTTTCCTAAAAAACTAGGCACCAGAACAATCCAATGAATGCATGGACCTGTAGATTTTGCATGCCCAATTTTATTGTGTTGCACCCATTCCCAAACATGAGCAGCAACTTTAATAATTCGAGAAGCACTCTTGGAAATTATCAAGAAACTCACCCGAGAACATATTTTTCCTTCGAGCTGCATGAAAAGAATACCAAAGACAAAATTGTTAGAATTAATAATTTGCCAAATTTGAAACAAGATTAGCATGTAAAAACCAAAAGATATAAATATATTCCTTTTCAGATTCCACTAACAAGTTAATATCCAAATGGGCAATAGATATATGAAATAATAATAATATAAATAAAAAAAAGCAAGGAATCTACCCAAAAAAAAAATGTGAAGATTTAAAGTATGTATACAAATACACGCAACAAATTCTTCTAAAATCAAAGTGCCTTTTTGAAGAGTTACAAGAAATTTAAGTATAAAAAGGGACGGAGGAAAAATAATTTTGAGAAATACGACAAATTACTCCTCGTTCTCTTGCAAGGACTGACTGCGATATTGAGCAGATGTCTGAAAAATTCGAATTAAATTCACAAGATTTCGAATTCAATTTCCGAAAATTGTTCCAATTAGATGTGTAATCGATTTCATTGAAAGAAGAATCAAAGAAAAATACTTACCCATAACTTTCAGATATTTTAAGATCTACCCGTCGTTTGTTCGGAGGGTGTTGCTGCTGTCGCGCCAGAGAAAGGGGTTCGTCGGAGACCCACTGGTGAAGATGAGGAGCAGAAATTTGTGAAAGTGAGAAATTTTGTGTAAAGAATGATACATCTCAGACCCTTTTGGTCATTTCATCTTCACCCGTTATACTGATTGTACAATCCTACCTCAGAGGGTGGGATAATTTATCACCCATATGCATGATTCGGTACCGGGCCCTCAATCAATACCGGGTTTATGTCCCACATACCAAACGTCTGATTAAGGGTGACTATTCTGTCTATCACCCCTTATCCGCCAAACCAAAAGAGCCCTAATGTTATTGTGTTCCACAATAATATTTTTTTTACTCTTTTGACGCCAAAAGAGTAATCCCCGACTCAATATTATTTTGCTGCACAATAAGATTAATTTTTTTTTTTGTTTAACCAACTCTTTTTTTTTAATGGTTAACACAATATAACAAAGTAATTAATTCAATATCATTGTGTTATACAATAATTTAGTAATATTACTATGTGACAGGCAATCAACGACGTAAATAAGATTAAGAAAAAAATCAACGACGTCGCCGTCGTCGTCTTCGTCTTCGCCACTGCTGTCGTCGTGGGTCGTGAACATAATATCAATCCGCCGCCGACCATCACCATGACCTCGTTTTCGATTGGGTACCTCTTTCAGTTTCAATTTCCAGAATCGAAAAAACCTTCAACCACTTCATAGAGAAGTCACAGAAATGACAAGAAGGAGACATAATCACGGCGAAGGAGAGCCTTAAGTTGCAGAGATGTCGTCGAAGAAGACAAGAAAGTGCGAATAATGGATTTTGAGACGCATTTGTTGTTCCGAGGACTTCCTTTGTCGTCTCAGACGGACTTTTTTTTAAGGGATTGAAATAGTTGGGGCGAATTTGAAGGTAAAGGAAAAGAAGAAGAACATTAGGGATTTAAGAAGTTATGGGAATTGTAATTTAGTCCTCTGAATTTGGGCTATTTATAATTAAATTATATTGAATTTACATTTATCATTAAAAATGAAATGTAAGGGCATTTTAGGTATCTAATATTTTCTGTTAGTTGTTAGACGGCCGCTACAAATCGACTAACCACAGGGGCATTAAGTGCCTAAATCGATATCAGAGTGAGGTGAAGTGCCAAAAGGTGAGACCACAGGGAGGGTTAAATCGTATTTACCCAAAAAAGAAAGTCGATGGCAGCGTTGGCCGACTGCCGGTGAACAACGTGAATAAAAAAAATCGACAGCATTGAATTTAGGGATGCTCAACTTTAAAAATATTCAAGAATTTGAGTTTTTATTTTTTTTAAATTAATTTTCATTTAAATACTAATATTACATAATACAAATATATATATATATATATATATATATATATATATATATATATATATATATATATATATATATATATATATATATATAACAATAAACTTAATATCGAACCGAAATATAGTTTAGCAATCGGCATATACCAGATTTTCGTTTGGTTCAGCTCGGTCGGTTTACTAACCGGATGAATACGCCTAAATAAATTTGACACCGTAAAAATGAACGTGTAAGATAATATATAATTGATGGGTAGTTGTAATTACACAAACAAGAAACATATATATTTTTTTTAATTTGACATCAAATATGGGTAATTAATCGCAATCTTATTAACAAACAAAGATTCCTAGAAAAAACACAAGAAACCCTAAGGGCAATTTTTGTCTGCTCATTTGGAGGTATTACTGTACATATCTAATGTAATATCTTATAATATTTTTTAATTCAATTTTCAAATTTAATTAGAAAATTATGATTACTTTGTGAAAATTTTATTAACAAAAGAAAGGTTTATGAAAAAACCCTAAGAAACCCTAAAAGCAGTTTTTCCCGCTCACTTGAAGGTTATTACTGTACCAATCTTATTTCATATCTTATAATATTTTTTAATTTAATTTTCGAATTTATCTTATCAACAAACGAAAGGTTCCCAGAAAAACCCTAAGAAACCCTATAGCCATTCCACTCATTTGAAGGTTATTGTTGTACACATCTTATTTAATATTTTTTAATTCAATTTTCAAATTTAAATAGAAAATTATGATTACATTGTGAAATCTTATTAACAAAAGAAAGGTTACTGAGAAAATTAAACCATAAGAAAAAATTAAACCCTAAGAAAAACCTTGGCTTGGGTGCTGCTCAGTTGGACTCAAAGCACACAGAAGAGGAACTACTAGTCCTAGCATTCAAGCTCCAAGGGAACCTCCGATCCGAGTTCTCATCTTGACTATGTCCCCCCAAGGCCTCACTTGAACTACTTTGTCTTAGCCTACCGAGTGAAACTTCCTCTTAGGATGAATGAAAGAGTAGAGACTTGCCCGTTCTTCTTATTAAGGGCAATTTTTCCCGCTCATTTGAAGGTTATTACTGTACATATCTTATTTAATATCTTGTAATATTTTTTAATTCAATTTTTGAATTTAATCTTATTAATAAAAGAAAAGTTCCTAGAAAAACCCTAATGACAGTTTTTCCGGCGCATTTGAAGGTTATTACTGTATATATCTTATTGAATATCTTATAATATTTTTTGATTCAATTTTCGAATTCAATTAGAAAATTATGATTACTTTGTGAAAATATTTTTAATGATAGTAAATACAAACCTACTAATAATTCAATAAAATATAAAGCATAATGATTAATAAATATTATTGTGACTATGGAGTATACTATACTATAATTTGAAGCCTACTTATTTTGGCACTGCATACAATTTTGAAATGTACACTTGAATACATAAATATGATAATTATTTTACTTTTGACAATATTATTTTTTCATACTTTTGAAGTATTATTCTTATAATGACGTATATTAATAGGTTTACCATTAGACCTAATTAGAATTAAAGAAAATATAATGTAAATTGAATTGAAATGTACACTTGAATGCGGAAATATGATAATTATTTTACTTTTGACAATATTATTTTGTTCATACTTTTGAAATATTATTCTTATTTTGAATTAAGTATATTATTAAATACGCCTACTTATTTGACCATGAGAAATACAATTTTAGGCTATAGTTACGATATTATTTTGTACCCAACTTTCAATATTATTTATTTTGCATAAATTTAAAATATGTATCTTAATGGAACATTAGGCCTAAATAGAATTAAAGAAAATATAATGCTAAATGAATTGAAATATAATATATACTTGAATACAATAATATGATAATTATTTATGTTTCTTCATAGTTTTGAAATATTCTTATTTTGAATAAGTATATTATTAAATATCGATTGGGAATATATATATATATGTCCCGTGCATCGCAAGGGCACGGGTGAGATTTCTAATTTGCACAATAAAAAGAGTATTTTGATAAACAAACTAGAAGTCCATGTCTGGAAGTAATCTAGTTGACGCGTAATTAATCTAATAAATAAGTTCTGGAATAATAAATTAGAATATTTGGAACAACCTATGAATAAATTAATATTGTCCTGTCGGATTTGAAGTCTAGAAGCAACGAATATGAGATCACATAGACACGCTTCAAATTCTGTTTTAAGTGAGATTTGGCAGTTGAATATATATATATATATATATATATATATATATATATATATATATATATATATATATGACAATTTGACAGTAGAAAGAACCATGACTTTGGCATTCATATCGCCAGTTGTGTTGTGTTCTCTGAATTATTATAATGCAAGTGTTACAAGAAGGTTGAACCTTAGCCGTGTTTCTTTCCAATTTTTATTCAATAAAAAAATGGTGAATTAGGTAATTTCTCATATGTTTGGGTAATTACAGTCATCACCTCAACTATGTATTATCTTACGAAGATACCCTTCTAGAGTTAATTTTAGGAATGTTAAATTGGTAAAATCGAACCGAAATTTAGGTACGCCAACATTTCATACCGTTTACCGAACTGAATATACGATTTGGTTCGATAAAATAACCGAATTACATAAATTTTATGTAAAAATATTTAAAAAGAGGGAGTGACTGTAATTACCCAAATAAGAGTGACACTTTTTTCGTAATCTAGTCATACCTCAGGGGTTGGCTGTAATTTTTCCGTGAGAAAATGTCAACCATTACAAGACAACGCGGACCTAAATGAATTGGAACTTCCGATTATTCCGCGATGTGTTGTGTTATTAATTAAGAATTCCTTTTCAAATTAATTTTCCAAGAAAGTCAGATTATAAATATCACAAGTACACTTTCTGAGTTATCAATACAACAAAAAACAATATACAACAACAACAGATCACAAAACTACTTACGGAAATTAATGGAAATCTTGTCATCAATATTCGACTACGAATACGATTACCGTTACTATAATTCGATATACGCGGAAGAGCGTCAGCTGGAAGAAGCTCTCGCCGCCTCTCTACACATATCATCTCCACCAACAAACCACCACCATGCCACGTCATCATCAAGTAACCACCACCATGCCACGTCATCATCAAGGAACAACCAAGCCACGTCATCATCATCTTCGAGAACTACTTCATGCGAAATTTGCACGGAAGACAGACGAAAATCGGACATGCACAAAACCGAAGGCTGCAACCATTCATTCTGCTACGACTGCATATCGAAGCACATCCAATACAAGCTCCAACAGAACATAGTACCGGTCACGTGTCCCTATCCAGACTGTCCGAACATCATCCAACCGAATAATAACAATAATAATAATAATAATGGGTCGTCTTTAATTAGGTCTAAAATCCCACAAGAAGTTCTCGACCGGTGGGAGAAGGCGACAATCGAGTCCATCATTCTTGCTTCTTCGGATGAAATAATCCACTGCCCTTACGAGAAATGCTCGGAGATTCTCGTTATCGAGAATGGCGTTAACGTAATTACTGAAACCGAGTGCCCTAGGTGTCACAAATTGTTCTGTGCAAAGTGTAGGGTTTCTTGGCATTACGGATTCAGCTGTCGAGATTTTCAGAGATTGAATCGAAACGACAGAGACAAGAGGAAGTTAAGGTTGTTGGCGAAAGAGAACAAGTGGAAGAAATGCCCTAATTGTAGGGTTTTCGTTGACAAGACCGAAGGATGTGTACACATTACTTGCAGGTAATTTGTTAATTTAATTTAATTTATTTTTATTTTGAAAGTTGGATTAATTATGGGAATATGTCTAATATTATTTCAATTAGTTGTATTAGGGTTCAAGTACTTATTGAGTTATTGTTAATTTTGGTTTTAACATTTGTTGCAGGTGTAAATTTGAGTTCTGCTATGTATGTGGAAAACGATGGAAAGAGAGCCATTGGAACACTTGTAAGGAATAACTATGTATTAATTTTATTTCGTGCAAATATTAGATTTTAATTAAATCTCTGTAACGAGAGCCAACAGCTGTGTGTGTGAGAGAGAAAGAAAGAATTCCAAGTTTATATTTTATACTTTGTATTTGTGTATATGCAAGACTAGAGTTGAATCTAAATTTCAAGTCATTCCCTAATTATTTGTTTGAAAAAATATTAGGATTTTTAATAAGTGTACCCTTCTCGTTTTTCTACAATCCAAAAATACCTCCGTATTTTCTATTTGAACGAGTGTGCGTGTATTATGCTCGACTCAAATCCATCACGATTTTTCACAATACTTGCGAAATTTTTGCAAAGAGACCCTACTCTGTTGTATTTTTCGCAAAATCACATCAAACGACAGGTAAAAAGATCGATCAAGAAAACCATGCAAAAAATGGTGAAGGCAACACAAACCACATACCAACCCAAATTGTCCCAATCTGCTAAGGCCTCGCTTGGTTGCCAAGATAAGATTAGCCAAGATAAAATTAAATAATCTAATGAAACACAATTGTATTATTGGACCTTGGAAGATCCAATAAAAAAAATGCCTAAAAGACAATATAGGCATGATAACATAATATTTGTGGGTCGACCCGACAAGTTATTGGGGATACTAAACATCAAACAAAGTTCCATTATTTAGTTAATCATGACTACTCTCCCAAATTAAACGAGGTTAAAAAATAAAGAGTTGCATATAATATGTGAAGACACATTTTCCTTATTGGCCAAACATTTAAACCTAACTTCTATTAGCTACGAAATAAACAATTTAAAATTTTTGCCAACTTCAAGGTGGACTAATTCTCTCCCCTAGACCACTTCATAACAAAATAAATAATAATTATTAAAATCTAAAGAGCACTTAAGCAGTAATTTAAAACGAGATTAAATGAAATTATAGCTGGGCAATGAGCCCTTTTAGACTTATATAGTAATTTTTGGCCCATTGGAATGGTCTAAGGCCTTGTTTGTTTAATGCTATTAAGTTCTATTAACTAAATAGTAGGGATTAGTAAGACGTTTGGTTAATGAGATTCGTATTTACTCAGCCCGCTACTATATTTAAAGCTCACAATTAAATGCTATTATTTGGTTAAATTAGTAGCACCCTTTCCCCTGTGATTAATTTAGTAGAAGTGGGAGGAAAATACAATTTTATCCTTAAACAATATCTTAATTTTGCTAATTAAAATATTTTTTAGACAATACAAGGTTTTATCTATCCTACACCCGGTGAAGGTTACAATGTGGGTGTGTGTGTGTTTGTGTGTATATGAATGGTAAAGATCTACCCGGTGTATTTCACCCGGTGTAGGATCTCAAAAGCCAATTTACAATTATTACCAGAATTTAACAAATTTAATATAATATTTAATCTAACGAATCAAACTTCTTACTGATTAAATAATTAATTAGTCAGTGAGACATTAAATCACTAATCCAATCTCACCTAATCCAATATAATCCAATATATGTAAACAAACGAGGCATAACAGTGAATCAGTATTTTTTACCGTAAAGTTTCCGGACTTGGAAAGAGACCGTACAATATTATCATTCGTCGGCCCTCCACCAATCGGTACGCCAAGAATTCATTCCGAGACAAGTTTTACTTGTGTCTATCAATATATATCATACACCATAGTAAGTATGATAAATTATTAAAAGCTCTCGTATTATATTATGTTACGCTAAATTTCATTCATTTTACAAAAAGCTTGAATTATACCCTACTTGGAATTCAATCGTAAAATAGAATTCGAGTCGAATGGATTTTCTTTGGATTAAAAATGGATCAATTTCATGTCGATTATATTGGTCATGTCCGGATCAACATCACCACCCTAATTGAAATACATTGGTTTAATCATTGTATACTATGAATACACATAAATAAAACATAAAATATGTGTGAAAGCATTTAATTACCAAATTTAGAAAAACCAATATAATGGGACTAGTGGTATGACCTACCAAAGAGTTGGGTTGACCGTTGTTAGTTAAATCGCTAATCGAATCGTAATTTTTATGATTCGCTAAATTAATAAATCGTAGAACGTAACCAATTGTGAATCGTAATTATTTTTATTGAAAATTATTATATATATGTGGGTATCTGAATATTAGTGGTAACGGAATGGTGTTAATATTTCAATTAGATTTTTAAATGATTATGGTATATCTTTGTCTGAGGTATATTAGCATTTTTTAGCTTTTTAATAATTTTTTGAATTTGATTTAAGATCTTAGTCCGTAATTATTATGTTTGGACCTAACTATTAGGCTAAGGGTAATCAGTATTAATTAATTAATTAATTGATATTCAATGTTGTTTTACATAAAGTTGTATGTTAGACTTTAATTCCCCGGACTAAAACATAGAGTAAATTACAACCGCCCATGAGGTATGGTTAAATTATGAAAACCCCCTTATGTTTGGATAATTACAACCACCCTTCAACTATAAATCTTCTTGCACATTCATTATTGCGGTTTCAAATTTAGTGGAATCTTCGAGATTATATGAAATATTATCACTTTTGTACCCGTTTTATCCCTTCGAATTCCACATTTTGAAGCAATATGATCATACTCTTTGTTTTTTTGCTTGTATATATCAGATTGTGGTGCATCAGAAACTGTATTTTTACACAAAATAAGTACAAACTATAGCACTATCTACGAAATCTAAATGACTATGTTGAATTTGAAACCATACAAGTGGAGGTGTAAGAAAAAAATTATAGTTGGTGGAGGTAGATGCAATTATGCAAACAAAAGGGGTATTTTCATAAAGGGCAAATGGCAAAAAGGCCCATCACATGGGACTTAAATGCATTTTGGTCCACAAAAAAAAATAGTCTCTCAATTAAGCCCATCCCCATGTCTTTAGTCTAAAATACCCTCAATAATATAATCCTTATCAATTTCACCCATTATGATCTAACTTCCTTAATATTACACATTGACCCCGGATTTAAACAAATATATCACATTAACCCCCAAAACTTTTTTTTTTCAGAAAATAATTTTTTTCTCTGAAATGTCCAGATTCCGGCGTTGACTTTTTTTTTTTTTTTTGAAAACTTTTTTTTTCCTGAATTTTTTTCCGGTCGGTCAACCACCGTTGACCACCGGTCTCCGGCGTTGACTTTTTTTTTTTTTTTTTTGAATTTTTTTTCTTAGAAGAAAAAAACATTTTAATTAATATTACTGTTTTAGCTACTAAATTACTGTCTCAGACAGTAATATTACTGTTTGCGACAGTAATATTATCAATATTATTTTTCCGAACAGTAATATTATTAATATTATTGTCTAAGACAGTTAAATTACTGTTGAAGACAGTAATTTAGCATCTAAGGCAGTACTATTAATAAAAAAAATTAAGAAAAAAATGAAAAAAAGCCAATTAACAGTTAAATTACTGTCTCCGACAGTTAAATAACTGCTGGAGACAGTAATTTAGCAAACGAATACAGTAATATTAATTAAAAATATTTTTTTAAGAATAAAAAAGTCAATTAACAGTTAAATCACTGTCTCCAACAGTTAAATAACTGCTGGGGACAGTAATTTAGCAACGAATACAGTAATATTAATTAAAATATTTTTGAAGAAAAAAAAAGTCAATTAACAGCTAAATTACTGTCTCCGGCAGTTAAATAACTGCCGGAGACAGTAATTTAGCAGCCAAGACAGTAATATTAATTAAAAAAAAATTAAGAAAAAACAAAATTAAAAAAAAAAAAAAAAAAAAAAAGTCAACGCCGGAGACCGGCGGTCAACGGTGGTCGACGCCGGAATCTGGCCGGAAAAAAAAAACATTTCAGAAAAAAAAAAAATTGGGGGGTTAATGTGATATATTTGTTTAAATCTAGGGTCAATGTGTAATATTAAGGAAGTTAGAGCATAATTGGTGGAATTGATAAGAATTAGGGTTAAAATTGGGGTCAAAATTGAAATTAGGGTTAAAATTGGTTAATTGATGAAATTGGGCTAAATTGGGGTGTAAATCATGAAATTGGAGTTGAATTGGGTTTCAATGAATTGGGGGTAATTTTGGTATATATAAAAGGATTTTCCTTATTTGCAAATAAATTTGAATGGGATGGATTTATTTGAAAGACAAAAAAATTGGATGTCCCTCTTTTAATTAAGTGCCCTTGTCATGGGCCTATTTGACATTACCCCTTTCATAAATTGATCATACCTTAGAGATGGTTGTAATTTACACTAAAATATATAAAAACAGATAAAAAGAAGTACTAGTACTTTTGTAAGAGGACAAAAATACCCCTGGGGCTTTTTCAACTGTTGTCATGTGATTGGTTGCATAGTCATATACTAGTCCTTTTTCATTGGTTGATTAAAGTCACGTGGTCCAAACATTTGCCGACACTAATCCACCGCCAAAAGAAATTAGAATTTTGAGAGACGAATATTCAAAATTATTACAAAGATTCGTTGACCATATACTTTACAATATTACCACGATATTTAATTGCAGACACCATGAATAATTACCTCAATTTAAATTTAGCATTTCGATCATAAAATGACAAATTTGTCATCAGAAGAAAATCATAATGAAATTGTCTGAGAGAACTTGCAGCAACTAGCTTAATGACACGTTTTAATAATTTCTTTATTTCTTTTTATTATTTATCTATTTATTGAGAGGACACGTTTTAATAAATTATAAAGGCCCATTAAAGTCAAATTTCTTTGAAATGAAATCCCAACAAACAAACTCCCAAAGCCATTTATTTTTTGTACGTAAAAATACTCATTATTGTGTTTAAGTAATTGAGTTTTTATAAATTATTTTTATTTATAGCAATTAAGGCTTCAAAGATACACCTAATTTAATTTGGCTTAATTCCATTTTGCACTCTTGAAATAGAGTATTTTGACACTTCGCACTTTTGAAAAACAATAATGACACTTTGCACACTCAAAACACAATAAATCATTCACCATACACATTTAATTGAATAATAAAGGATAATTTATTTTTTTATTGGGTTTTTTTTTCGGGGTGCAAAATAACAAATTAAATTGTTATTTTATTCGACCTCCGACCTAATTTCGAGCGCACAAAGTACGAAAAAATTAATATAACACAGGATAATTGAAAAAAATTATATTTTTCTTACAAAATAAATTTAAATACACTAAATTATTTGATTGATAGATCTTTTATTGTAATTGATGGAAATATTAGTTAGAAATATTTGGAAGAAAATGTGATTTTCAAATATCTTGATAATGAAATAGCTGAAAGATTTTTTTTTGCCGTAAAATATTTTTTTTGTGATAAAAAATAATTTGTAAATACTACTTAAAATATTAAATTACCTTTAGTAGCTTTAGAAACTCATGTAGGGTGCATTATGCATGATATATTGTGTTTGAGGGTGCAAAATATTATTAATTTATTTCGAGGGTGTAAAGTGCTAAAATTGTATATCTCAAGGGTGCAAAGTGGGTTTAAGCCAATTTAATTTATTTATTTTTGTAAATTAATTTTGTATTAAGTTGTATAAGTAATTTTAGAAATGAAAAATATGACTACCAAGGTGGCAAGGTCTCTTTCGACCAACAAATCCTTTTTTGGTTTTTAGTCAATATTAAATAAAAAAAACTATTAATTTCAATATTTCAATGAAAAAAAAACTATTTATGTTAACATAGGCGGTATAATTTTTTAAATATACAAAAAAGAATAGTCAATAATATCAACAATCGATGCAAGTGTAACCGATAAAATCAACTGCCAACTATTATCCGACTCGTAAAAATCAATAATCAGTCGAATAATCAACTGATTTGGCCTACAAACAACCATAGTCAGTACCTACTAGACATTTGAAAGACAAATCATAGTAATTAGTGGGACAAGGTTCAAATATAAATTAAAAGTATTAATTAAACTACGTCAAATTTTTAGTGTTATGCACGAAAGTGATTAAGAGATGGTTGGGCCAAGCCAAGCCAAACAATTTCCGAAGCCGCCAAAAAAGAAAATTCAGAAAATAATCCACGTGTTAAACAAATGTATATTTAATATTAAATAATATAAAGAAATAAAAAAAATAAAAAGAAAAAGGCACCGTATACTGTCACGTGTCGGTGAAACGAGTCCCGCATTAAAATAATTCCCAAGTGGCGTAACGGCTAAAGGTGCCCGCTTTAACTCAAAGCCAAGAAAACCTCTCTCTCTCTCTCTCACACACACACTTTTCTCTCTCTTCTCTCTCTCTCTTCTTAGTCACACAGTGTGTGTGTGTGTTTTATGCATGTAGATATTCGTTTTTGCTTTTTCTGGTTTAGAAAGGGGTGGGAGTGAGAATTTTCGAGAGGGAGATATAGTTCTGGCCGGGTTAAGGGTGTTGAGTCGACTCGGCGGCGGCGGCGGAGGGAACCGGCGGAGGAAGGTGAAGATTAGGGTGATGGAGTGGTGGCGCAAAATTGTATTTCCTGTTAGAAGGGCTTGGTTCGCTGTTTCGGCCCGTGTTAAAGCCCGCAAAAATGGTGCCTTTTTTCTTCTCTCTCTACTCTCTGATTAATCACTTTTTTTTCTGCCAAATTAATCTGGGTCCTGACCCGAAATAGTGTTTTAATACACTGTGTGCCCCAGTGTGTGTGTGTGTGTGTGTGTGTGTGTTTTCAGAATTTGAGTGCTGCAAATAGTAAATAATATTAAAATTGTTTAATATATATATATATATATATATATATAATTGAAGTTTTAGTGATTTAATTTTATAATTTTTTGATGGAATTATATCCAAGTTATGGAGAATAAAGCAATTACACCAACTTTATACTTTAGAAACAAAACACTTTATTTTCTTGTGCCCTTCCTTCTTCTTGAAGATTATCTGTATTCGAGCCGAACGCATGGTTGTTCAACTTTTTTGATTCTTTTTATCTGAGTTTTCAAAGTTGTGTTTGGTCTAGCAATCGAGTTTGAATCTGAACACATCGAGATCGAGTAGCTTGATTTAGATTGGTAAATATATTATCATTTTTTTTTTCAATCGAGCTCGAACCCAACTTCATAGCTTATCAAAAGAAAATATGTGTTCAATGTTACTTCGTTACGTTAAACCGTTTTTTTAACGAACGATCACAAATCGAATATCGAGTAGCTTAGTTTGATTTTCAGCCCGAATCATAATTCAATAGGATTAAACTATTATATATTATTATTTATTATAATTGGAATTTTGGAATTTTTTTAAAGGACCGATTCTTGTTTTGCACATAGTCTATGGCATATTATTGTCTATTTTTTTCTTAGTCATCCCACTTGTTAATTAGTGCACTAATGACACTTTAGGCGCACTAATGATGGCTTAGTAATTGGGGTTCATTTTCTTATCTACATAATTAATTATATGCTAAATAGTAAATTGTATCTAAAGATTCCACTTATGGATGCTTATATATATCCACTAGGTAAATTCCACTCAAAAGAAATTAAAAGAATGGCATATTCGACAATTAGTATGACACCATCAAAGATGTTAACGGCTTAACCTACTAACTACCAAAATAATTGCCCCTATAATTAACTTTTTTTTATAATTATTTTATCCCTTTTATTCAAATATAGCATGCTTTGTTATATTATAATAGCCCCTACTCTTTTTTTCTTTAAAATAAAATCTATAGTAGTGAAATTATCACTAGTTTGACCGAACTGGCGGGTCGAACCGTTTAAATCGATGGGTAGAACTGCCCAACCAGGCCTCCCACCTAAAAAAATGAAATTTTTCAAAATACATTTTTATATAGGGAAAATTACATTTTTTACCCCTCAAGTTTGTACGTATTTTACATTTGGTCCCACATGTTCATAAAAAATACATTTGGTCCCTCGTCTTTCAAAAATTGAACATTTTTAGTCCTTTCCGTCAATTTTCCGTCATTACTAACGGAATTAAGTGTGTGCTTATCACTGCCTTAACTGACGGACTAACGGTAAATTGATAAAATGATCAAAAGTGTTAAATTTTTTAAACATGAGAGACCGTATGTGTTTTTTATGAACATGGGGGACCAAATGTGAAATGCGTACAAACTTGAGGGATGCAAACTGTAATTTTCCTTTTTCATATATGCATGTATACACATATATACATACGTATATTTTAATCCTCAATTGATGGACATTTCATGAAGAATGATATAAAAAAGATCAAATAGTGATTTTTTTTTTTAATTTTTTTAATTTTCTTTTTTTATTTTCTTCCTAATTGTGAAATTTTTTCGTTGTATTTCTTAATTCAGGTGGGGGGCTTCTGAAGCTACACGATGACATACAAACTTGCGGGTACGAGGATGTCCAAATTATGTGGGAGATGCTGAGAAGGACGGAAACGGAAGTAGTGCCACATCAGAATAAGAGCAAGCATCGATGGTTCTTCAAGAATCTGACGTGGACCAATTAATCACGGTGGATCGGAGGACCAACTCCATCTTTCTCCAGTACAGTTTAAACTCGGCGAGACGAAGAAAAAGTAAAAAATGACTCCCTTGTCGAAGCTGGTAAAATAAATAATTAATATATGATATAGTTTTACAGATTTAGCTTTCAGCTTTGTAAATATGGTATGATGATCCTGGAATCAGTTTTTACAGTGGGGTGAGCCCATTTAACCTTTAATAAAATAAAATTTAAAAAAAAAAAAAAAAAAAAAAAAAAAAAAAGAACTTTTCTAACATATTTTAATCTTCTGTGGATTGTCTTCTGATATCTTCATTTCAGTTTTATTATTGGGTAGCCATATCATTAGGCAAATAATTGAGGTTAAATTTAAATTTCTATATTTTTAAATTAGAAAATCAGTCATGTACTTATCTGAGTTAAGTAGGGCTGCCAATCAAGCCGTGTGAGTCGAGATTGGGTTGACTCAAGCTCACATACCGTCGGTCTCATTACTCTAGGCTCAACCTCAGTTCATATATTTTTTTGGGGTTCAATTTTATAACGGGCTTATATCAAACACAAAGCGCAACTGGAACAAAATTTTCGAAAAAAATATCTCTTTTTACTAATTTATAGGGGGTTAAGTGCCAAAATCGAAAAACTCCAAATAAAAATTCGAACAAATTTGAAACAAGTGAACCGGGTTCTTCTACACCCTCAAACAAAAGAGCATGCCATGCCAATAATTTCCTGCTAGACTGGTGTTGAAAAACACCAAATTCAAAGCAGAACAAACAAACACCTCTTCAGCAAATTTAAATCTTGATAAAAAAAATATAATTATAAATATTATAAATTATATTCATATTAATTGTCAAATTTCAAGATGTAGATTTGAGGGAGGAGACATCAACAAATGTATAGTCCAAACTCACATGTTTCCTTTCTTTCTGTTGTAATAACACCATCCCTGCATCACAGATTCATCACCTTCAGAAAAAAGGTTCTGAAACTATTTACACAATTAAAAAAAAAAAAAATCTTATTGAAATCGATTTCTGAAAAAAAAAAAAAAAAAAAAAAAAATTTTTACCCCTTTTGGGACATAAATTTGGCACTGTCATAAGCTTAAACAGGCACTACACAGTATTTCCATTTACGACAGTTCTCGAGTATCCTGAAACGAGAACATAAGACAACGTGGGAAATAGTTCAAGAAAATTCGAATGTAATTAATCGTTTTCGCTCTTTCACTCGAAATCACAGATCTCCTTTGTTATGACTTATGAGATTCATTACTTTCTTTAAAACGAATCGGCCCTTAATATCCACGACTGCATCAAAAACCTTTGGAAAGAGTTGACACGAGAAGAAAACTATTCCACATCTGAAGAATAAATAAGAAACGAGCAACAACAAAACGATATAATATCACAATAAAAAAATCATTTTAAATATATCACACAGATATAAACCGTAACACAACGCTCACAAGGCCTATACAAGAGTTACACGAAACTGAAAACTTTTTACCTCTATCTTTGTAGCCTGAGTAATCCCTCAACGTAGACGACGCAAGGCCGTATAACCTGCAAAATACACAAGACGACACAGAGAAAATCGGGTTTCGAGTACAAGTACTTTATAGTCATTTATGGTGCGACAGAAGCGAACGAGAAACGAAAGCAACTTGTTAAAACGGTGTTGTTAATATTAAGACCCGAAAACCAATCTCGATGGTGAAAGCTTACATACACATGACTATTGCACCATGCAATCCCACCACCTTTTTCTTTTTTTTTTTTTTTTTTTTGCTAAAAGTACCAAACTACACATTATTCCTGCAAAACTGTTCTAAGAATTTCTCGTCGACTGTAAATTACAGGAAAGAAAAAAAAATTAAACGGGGATATGCTAATCATACAACATTGGCAATCGAATTCGGACCTCCTTCTCCTCATCATCCGAACAGTTGCTTAAAACGGCCTCTCCCAATTTACGGAAAAGCCCATCAGCAGAATAGAATAATAAAGATTCCCTGCTTGTGTTTCCTCCGAAACGGAATATAAAAAAAAAACCACGCCTAAATCAATCTCGAATTCCCTATTCTTCGAATGCAAGTGTACATATTTTCTCGAGCAACAAAGGCCAATCTTCGCCGAGTCTTTGCGGCTTCAACTCCATCGCAACTCTAAAGTCCTGCAAAGAAATCGGTTGATATTGCTGACCTGGCTTTACACCGTTAACAAGCTTCCCGTAAATATGGTTCTTTCTCGACCCCACAAGATCAATGCAAGACTTAAGCAGCCCTTTAATGTAGTTATCCAAACCATGGTTAACTACATTGGCTGAATCGAGCGAAACCCCTTCAAGACCATTAGCCAAAGCAATCTGCTCCATACGCTCCCTCAACTTTACACTATCCGACAACACACCACTTTCGAGCGTGCTGTTACATCTACTGCCGCCGCCACCTGGCACAAATCTACGGGCTCCACCGATGCTGACCGGACACAGCGGGACCCCGAGCGGGGCCCGGAGCGGACTCTTTGCACAAGACTCCAAGTGGGGCCCGTTCTCGAGCGAGGCATCGAGATCGCCAGCTGGTGCTAGAGGGGCGAAAGTAGTCTTTTTCACATTAGCCCTTCTGTTGCGAATAACTGTCCTCGCCTTTCGGGGGGAGAGCGGTAGCATATCACCATTACTATTTTCGGCCGACGTAGCTTTATTGCCAACTTGTTGTGGAAGAATATGCTTCGAAGATTCTTCCTTCTGATTGGGTGGTGGTGGTGGTGGTGGTGGGGTTTTTGCGGTGCAAGCATTTCTGAGTATCGAGCGGATGAGCTGATTGTGGAGGGGAATATTCTCCCGCCCGATGATTCTGAGGCAGAGCTTATTGAACTCCACCTTTGTCAGTTTCAGGCTCAAGAAACCACTCAAGTAGTAAAAGTACTGTTTCGACCCCTCGGGCCCGATTTTCTTCACTATCTGAGCTTTCAAATCGGCGAGACTGATCCGCGAATTGTGACGTGGCGGTTGCATCTCTGTATCGACTGTTCAACTTCTTCTACTCCACACTTAAATATCCATACAACACTCTGCCACAACAACTACTGATGTACAGAAGCTTCAACCAATTAGGGTTTTCTTTTTCTTTTTTTTTTTTTTCTTTTTTCTTCTCTTGGCTGTAATTTCAAGAACCCAATTTACAAACAACATCCAATCCCTCTAACAACATCCTTAACAATGTCGAAACCAAATCCCATCTCTCAGAGATCTCAAACTTCCAAAATCAAACCTCACTCTCCCTCCAAAAAAAAATCCCAAATTTCACAAAATTATCAAATTATCCAATGCTAAACCCTTCCAAAATCAATAATTCCGATGCCAAACAAACCCTTAATTCTTCCCTCCCTGCAACTCCACAATTCCACCTGTATATTCAAAATTCAAGAAAAAACCCAAATGCCGCTTCGTCAATGGAAGATTCAAGCTTGAATTCTGAACTTCAAGTTCAGATTTCTATGCTCAAATTAAATCAATAAATAGACGAAGATTTAAACTTGATTAGAAAGAAAAAAATGAGTTCAAATTAACGAATGGGCTGACCTTATTGAAGCTCCCCGAATTTAGATTCAGGACAATAAATATAATCACAAAAAAACAACAGTCTCTCAGCTTTAATTTTTCCCTTCTATCTCTTCCTTTCTAAACTACTTGTCTGAAACCCATGTAGCTTTGTTCCGCCATTGCTGCTTATCCCTTCAAATTTTGCTTCGCATTCTCTGTTTTCTTCCCCCAGAAAAAAAAAAATCCTGAATCCGAAAATTGAAGACCCCTTTTTTTTTTCTCTCTCTCCGATCGCGCCCTTCTCCGATACTCCCTTTCTCTCTCTTCTTTCTCTCTCTATTTTCTCGTTTTCTGTCGGATTAGATTTTTGTTTCAATTTCGTCCCAAGAGCACAGTCGTTGATGCAGGAGGTACAACGTTTGTGTGTTGTACGTTGTGTTGGTAATGTTGTACGCTGAATCTGGCAGGGGCGAAATAGTTTGGCACTATCAATTTCTGTTTTTAGAAGTTTTGTCTATCCACGCGGGTAGTGTGTGTGTGTGTTGCACTCGCCGTTTAGTTGGGTAATTGGAATTGATGTGTTCGCAACTAATTGCTACGGCGGAGGACACGCGCGAGGTGCGCGTGTGGAACAATGAGGATTTCCAATTATTTTCAATTGTTTTTGGTTTGTTGGTAAGAAATAAGATTCTTCCAACATTAAAATTGAGAGGGAAGAACAAAATTCATTGTGGTGGTGAGGTTGAATTACATTTTGGTGGATTTTGGTTTTGCTATACCAAATTCTATTTTGATGGAGTTGGTACCAATATAACTAAATACATTAGGAAGTTTTTTTTCTTTTTTTTCAAATATTTCTTTTCTTGAAAAATAATAGGGTTTATCGTTATTCATAACGACGAGCGTTAGAACTGATAAATATTTATGTTATGTCATATTATGTACAATTTCTATATCTACAGTGCATGGTATGTGTATTGTTATTAATGTTATAACGATTAACAGTAGGATTTTGATCTTATGTTCTTATATTTGTCGCTATATTTGACAGTTCGTTATAATTTTGAACTACTTGCAAGTTGCGACTGTAAAAGATAAATATCCAATAATTTTTATTAGTTTTGATGTGTTGGTAAGAAATAAGATTCTCCCACATAAAATTTGGGGGGAAGAACAAAAATCATTGTGGTGATAAGTATATAGTACCTTGATAGATTTTGGTTTGCTATAGCAATTATAACTTTGATAGAGTTGGTAATATAAATTCACAATAGTAGTACTTAATGAAGTATTGTTCTCACAAAGAAAAAGAAAATCTTGAAAATCGGTAATGTTTATCGGTATTGATAACGATCAATAGTGGAACTGCCAATATTTATGTTATGTCTTATTTTGTTTATGTTTGAAGAATTAGTATTTCCGTCGTCTCATTGCTATACAATCTTTTGTTTTTACATCAATAAAGGTATGTCTACCGTTAATGATATTATTTAACGGTAGAACTTCGACATTTTGTTCTTAGATTCGTAACTATCTTTGCCAATCCGTTAATTATAATTTTAGATTTTACACTTTGCAATTTTTCTTGCTCTCAAGAAAATCCGTCGCACTCAACGTTTAATTTCCGAAAGGTGTAATTAACATGTGTGTGAAAAGTATTGGTCTTTTAAACTTTGAATAAGATGGTTTGTGCAATTCTACTTTTATTGAAACATTACTTTAATTAGAACACAACGTTCACAATTTGATTAAAAAAATCAATGCTCTTTGTACTTAATTTTTGGAATGTTTTTTTGTTGCACGAATGGGAGATATTTGGAAGACGATGAACAAACAAGCCAAAAAATCACTTATATTTATGATAAATATAAAAATAGATGTGTCGAATGGTGATCTTTTGAATAATTAAAAATGAGCTCTAGCTCGAACTTTTATTGTCGAATTTACGTCACATGTCAAAATCAAATAACATTTAAGCTTTTAGACAAACATTATTAATTCTCTAAACTTAAGTGGCTATCTATACTCTCAATAAGCATCTACCTAACACTAGTATTCTAAAATATGTAGAGTAAGGCTCAATTCGAATTAACTTATTTTCAACCAACAAACACAAAATTTTATATTTTAGCTCAAAATATTATTTTTCAAATAATACCATCTTACTTTTTATTTTTCAATATTTATTTGAAATTCAACCAATTTCATTGCTAATCATCCAATTCTGATTCTTGATTCTTGATTCTCTACCGTTGTCTAGAAACTTATTATTTAACGAAATCAGAAGCGTGCGGCATCTAATAATTCGAATTTGATTCAATTTATTTTGTTTTGTTTTGTTTATTGAATTCGATGCAACTTGTCAGTATTTTCAGGATCGTTTTCGTTACACATAACTTGCTAAGTACAGTATACATGTCTCGTATGATTTGCAGACTAGAGTGCATCACACTTGCTCAATTTAAAAATAAATAAAGAGGAATCATGAATATAAGTGGCTCACTTTTGTCAGTACATGTGTTTGAATTGTGAATTGTGAATTGTGAATTGTGATATAGGTAGGTACATTTTGAAAATGGTATCTGAGGAAGGTTTTATTCATTTTGTTTTTCTCTCTCTCCATAATTCTCTATTATAAATACAATCCCATTGAGATCATACATACATATATATATATATATATATATATATATATATATATATATACAGATATATATGATATACTATATATATACATATATATATGTATACTTTTCAAGGTTAGTCCATTATCAATTTATTTATATTATTTTTGGTTTCTTGAAAAATTGTTTGTACGATGTTACTGTAGTAGTGGGAGGAGGAGGAGAAGAGCATTTGCTGCCGGAAAACCGGCACTCGTCGGAAATGAAAATCGAGGTGAGGAATCTGACAAAGGTTTCCGACAAGGATGTCCGGATACTGAACAAGATCAACTTGGACGTCGGCAAAGGAGTGATCATGGGGGTGATCGGGCCCAGCGGCGGCGGCAAATCGACCTTTCTCCGGGCAGTTAACCGGCTTTGGGAGCCGCCATCCGGTTCCGTGTTTCTTGATGGCGTCGATATCTGTCGGATCGATGTTCTTACTCTTCGCCGGAAAGTCGGGATGCTGTTTCAGCTTCCTGTTCTCTTTGAAGGTTTATATATATATATAAAAAAAAAAAAAAGGAATCTTTATTTATCTGTTTGATTTTCTGATGAAAAATGAATTGCATTAGTACTCGGAAGTTACTTAAAGATATTCGTTATTTTCCGAATAGTGCAGTAAGTAAAATTTTAGTGTATACATTTGAGTAAATTTGCAGATTGTTAGAGAAGGGAAGACTATATAAAGAAACCGTAAATTAATATTCGATATTGCAAACGACGAGGAGGAATTAGTAGTGATATTCGGTATTCCGTGTAGATGCTTCACTTCTCAACTACCATGTAATCGAGCCCTTTAGTGAAATTGGTTTTAGTAATTGCTTTATTTCGGGTAGTTTTGATATATATAGTTATCGATGACGAAGATCGATACTTGTTTAATG